TAAGTGCAAATGGTATATGCCATGCCCCTTCTTCGGCTGTCAATGCCCCTGAATCCATCAGGTTTTGGATCTTGCGCTTCAGCGCCTTATAGTTCTCAGAGGAATGTTTGGAGCATCCTATGTGGCAACTACAAATAGCTTCAACATTGTAGCCCTTAGGATATGTGGACTTTTTTCTCAGATCATCTTGGCAGGTTTAGTCGTACAACCAGCTGATTGGGCTCATTCGTTGTGATAGTTTTTTATGATGTTACAATCTTGCTTCTATGTGGTGTCATGTGGTTAAAACCACTTCATCGAATTCTCCATGAAGAGATTTCATGATTATGAAAATACTTAAAAAATGAAATGTATATGCAAAATGCAAAAATGCATGAAATGTTCGAGGCATTGATCCAAAAACATGTATGTTATTGTAAATAACCTTTATTGGGACAAAAGGGTTTTATCTTTTAAGAGACAATAAACATATTTAAAGGTACATCCGTACTAAATCCTCTAGGCCCAGAACCGGTTGACTAGTCATTTGCCTTCGTCTTTTACCGGTTGAATAACCTGTCGAACCGCTCCGTCCTCTCTGGATGAACCATGAAAATGTTGAGTTTTTTTGTATTGGTTCCCAAAAAGTGTCGAATGACTTCATCTCTGCCTTTCATCCTTTGCTGAATCTGAAATTCCATTGAAATCCTCCATCAAAGGGATTATTCGAAGTTCATTTTCTTGTTTCTTGAATTTGTCGACAATGACTTGCCATCTTGTTCTTGTTGTCTTTGAATGGACTCTCGAGGTCAGTAACCTTTTTCTCGTCTTGCCCCTGCCACCTTTGTCAACCCATTTTTGAAAAGTTAACTTTTGATGTACTTGATTGTGGGCACCATGAATGTGACACATAGTTGTCTTGCAAATTGTCCTCATTTTCTTTCTGAGCCCTTTTCGGACCATAGCCGGACCCCTGCGTTCTTATCTCTTGTATTACAACCCCTTTGTCCATTAATGCAGATTATTCATGTTTTAACAAACAAGTTTTTGGTGGATCAACACCTCTTTTAAATGATGCAAATAATGAAAACAAAATAAAAGAGAACAAAAGTAAAATAGAGTTAGTGAGATAAATCAAAACAATAATAAAAACGAAAAATCCTACCCCACATGATATCTACCCCGCATGCTTTAATTCCTACCCGGACATGATCTCTATCCCGCATGCTAATTTCACACAAATCCTAACCGCATATTTGTCTAGTTCGCATGCTTTGAACAGAAAGTAAAGCAGGAAATAATTCCGGCATCCTAGGGTTTGAAATGAGGTTTTGGGGTGGGCTCTAATTCTCCATCATCTCCCGGTTTAGGTTCTAAAAAAACGGTACCCGAGTTCTTCTTGTTGGTGCCCCCTTTGGCTTACCAGACCCTTAGTCCTAAACCCATCACAGGCTTGTATGGACTAAGTTAAACTCGAGAGGAAACATTCCCTTATGCCCACACGGAGAATAAATTCACACGAAGGCATAAGGTATATGTATCCCGAAGGCTACTTGCTAGGCCCACACGGTGAATAAATTCACACGAAGGCGTCGCTTTCACCCCCACTTAAAAGGAATTGGAGCTCGGGTATAGAGCCTTAGATGAAAAAAAAAACTTTGAAGGCTGAAATCATGAGAAAACGATTAGTCCAACTATTTACTCGAAAATATAATCAAAAGTAAGTAAAAAGGATCGAAATATTACCTTAAAATTTAAACTTACCCTTTTCGTTAAAAAGACAACTGGAAATTACCTTAGCCTGACTCACTTACATGTGTCCCCAGCGGAGTCGCCAAGCTGTCGCAACCGTCTTTCGGTTGGGCCCCGGAATTGGGCTTTGACTTGAAAAATGTGGATTGGAGTCGCCACCGATAATTTATTTAAAGATAAATGGGTTGATCAGATACCCTATTTCTTACCTGATCTGCGTCTTACCAGAAATATATCGGGCTCGGGAGTCGGTTACGGTCAAGGAAGGATTAGCACCCTTGAACCGCCCTTTCGGTACTACGTAATTTCCAGTTGTCTTAATTAAGAAAAATAACAAGTTAAATTAAAAGATAAAATAATGATCCAAAATTACTTACCTTTGACGGATTTACAAATATACCCTTTAAAAGTCAAAATATGGGTTAGAAGAGATGAATAAATGATAAATAAAGTAAAACAAATAAAATAAGGAGATTAAGTAAGAAATAAAGTAAATATAAAATGAATAGAATATATAAAATAAAAAATAATAACACTAATATATGCACAGCAAACAACTAAATAAAAATAAAATGATAATGCAAATAAATAAATAAAACAAGTAAAAGAATATAAAAACATAAAATATAGGATAAATATAAAAATAGATAAATAAATGAGTAAAAATATATAAAAAAGTAAAAGCATATATATATAAGTAAAATAATAATAATAAAAAAAAGAAAATCAAAAGTAATATATGTATATATACATGCAAAATAGGAAATATATAAATATATATATATATATAATAACACTAATAAAAAAACATATATACATATATAAATAAAATTAATAGAAAGTAATATGCATATATAACAAGAATAATAAAGTAGGAAAAAAATGATTTAGGGGGGAGAATTAAATATTTTAAAAAAATGAACACGCCTCAGGGGTAGATCTAGGTTCGAAATTTCGAAATTCCACCCTTTTTTAGTCATCGGTGCAACCACGTTTTGGGTTATTCAAACCAAATCTCAAGAAAAATAACGTGCACATGCGAGAAATGAACGAACCAATGTAAAAAAAGATGCTACCTTTTATTTCCTTTTCGAATCGTTTACAACTTTGCTTTTGTATTTTCCGTGCTTTCCTCTGTGTTTTGTGTGTAAATCGTGTCTTCAAATGGTGAGTTACAATGGCTATTTATAGTGCTTGTGGATCCTATCTTTAGGAATTTAAATAATAGTAGAACTCTATCCTATTTTTAGGAGTTTGAATCCTAGCAAAATTTTATCCTATTTTTAGGAGTTTGAATCCTAAAATTCTATCATATTTTTAGGAGTTTGATTCCTAGTAGGACGAAAAATGTGTGTTGACAAACATGACAGCAGATATCGCAGTTCATGTTGGTCACATTAAGTAATTACAACATGAATAATGGAGAGGACAGTAAACGAGGTGAGACATATAGTTATTTGACACCGATTCGATCTACCTTTCGATAAATATTCGATTTGAATGAATTCATCGAGTTCTTAACTAGACGAAACGACTTATTTGATATTCAACTCAAAATATTTATATATTAAAATTTATTTTTTTAAGAAATTAAATTATTAATAATATTAATATTTATGTGTTTATTTAAAAAATATAGTAGAATGTTTTCATCTACCTAAATTTTAGTTTTAGGTTGGAGTTGAACTTCAATCGAATTAAATTCAAGATTTCTTTATTTCAAAGCTTAGGCGAGCTTTTTTTTTCGAATTTCAATTCATAATTTTGAGGACAGATCAAGCTTAAAAATTGTAGCTTCACGAGTTTTCAAGTCGAGTCGAACTCGATATTATCACATAATTATATGTCATTATTCTATTTATAACTTAACACTTAAATAATTAAAATAAGATTGAATTAACAATTTAATAAATTAATTAATAAATCTTAAAATTTGATAATCAAAATAATAATAAAAAAGTTAATGATAAAATTTAAGATAAAGTATTTAAATGGTCACTCTATTATATAGTATTACTTTGTTAAGTTTTTCGATTATTAAAAGTTGCAAAATGATATTTTGACTATAATACGTTGATTTATTGAGTCTCCTAAATGTTAAAAATTATAAAATGATCATATGACTATTTGTAAGTTTCAATTTCATTATTTTCTATTAAAAATTGACATCAGTCTGAGCTAAACATTAATTAATTAATTGAGATATAATAAAAATATAATCCTACCATCGTAAACGACTATACAACTCAAACATATCTGAAATCAAATTTTATCATATCCTAATATATATGTTAACCTCTGCTTAAACAATAATTTTATCATATCCAAGCATCGCAAACAACACCCTATAATTAGATTTCACTATTTTATAACTTTTAATAATCTAAAAATTCAATAAAACAATATCGGAAAGGATATTTTTGTATTTTATCCTAAAATTTATAATTTAGTCCTAAATATAAAGTCAGAGCCTGAGTAGGGATGACAAACGGGCGGGTCGGTGCATATACTCCTCTCTCATCCCCATACCCACCTAATATTTTCAAATCCACCACAGCCCACCAGCCATGATGGATAAAATTTTTCAAATCTACACCCGCCCAAGCGGGTAAATTCTCAAATTCATCCCTGCACCCACTACCTAACTGGATACGTACCATGCTAGACCTGCCTGACAGCAACCTTAAGTTATACATAAGCAACAAACATAAAACAAACACGTCCATTAAGAAACTTAATAAAATAAACAAATGATTATCTGAGTTAAGTGTTAACATAGATCTTAAAGTGCATAAAACACTATAATATAATACATAATTAAAGCCTAGAAACATAAATGATAAACATATAATATTTTTGTTTTTTGACACACATAAATGACAAACCCTAAAATTATACCTAAATTTTTCATGGTTTAAAATTTAATGGGTATTTAGTGGGCTTGCGGATGTGGGACGAGTAAGGTCTCAAACCCATCATCCGCCTACTAGCCGCGACGTGTAACACTTTCTAAATCCACACCTACCCATTACACATTAAAATTATATCCATCTTTGTCCTAATTGAAACGGATATAATACGAAATTTACGAAATTATACACATTTGTCATCTCTAATCCCTAGAGGGGAAAGGACTTGAAAGGCGTAAAGCGAAGACATTTGCCGCGATATAATTTTCAGTATTTTGAATTGGGCCTCCTAAACAAACCAGAATTTACGTACCAAATCAAAAGCAGAAAACTCCCTATTCGAAGCTCTAATCCAAAGCAATGGCTACTTCACCATCTCAGCAGGTTGACACTTCGTCTCTTCCTCCGCCTGCGGCAGAAGAAGCCGAATCTCCCCTCTCTTCCCTCATTTACGATTAATTCTCTTTCATCTGTCTCACTTTGTCCGGTTATTACTTTTTCTCCGCTTATCATTCCAAACTGCTTTCCGTATTCTCTTTCGTTACGTGATTTCTCCTTTCAGCCATCGCATGTTATAAATATTCGCGTCGAACAAATGCATCTCGTTATTGTTTACCAGCGTGATTCAAATCGTTTATGAAACGTTGTGAAAACGTGAAGTTCTTGGCCTGAAGCGGTTTTAAATTGGATAATTAATTGTTAATTTCTTGAGATCGTATGTCTTCCTCGTATTTTTTGTGTGGATTCTGGACATTTTCGAGGATTATAATTGAATACACAAATTTCACTTCCATGAACGCGTCCTTGCAATGCTTTTACGATTTTATTTTCTCCGATCGTGTTGTTTTCCTTATATTTGTTTATGCTCGGTTACAGATTTGTCACAAAATGTTCAGATGACAATGGAGAATATGCTTAAGATGATAAAGTGAGTGAATCGTTCTTGGTCATTTCATCAGTAAATAATAGCAATGTGGAACTTAATTTGGGAATAATGATCAAAACTCTGTTATTTCTCCTAACATTATATTCTTTTTCCCTTTCAAATAAATTTCTGCAGTGAAATTGATCAAAACTCTTCGGGAATAATGGAAGAGGTAGAGAAGTGCAAAGTCTCTGCTCTTGAAAAGAAGAAAAGTTTGGAGGAAGAGAAGGAACGGTTCCAGAAAGCTGCATTCACTGTTTTGGACATGCTGAATAGCAGAGAATGAGAACTGTAAGCTCTATAATTTCCATCACCACCTTCATATTACTCTTATGGAAAACCTGATAACCGAAGATGGGTTAATATTGGGCATAAATAAATGTCACTCTACCATTATCATTGAAGCTAAAAACACAATGGGTAAATATGCATTGCCTCTGTCACAAACAGTGGACATATACAAGTATCCATTCATATGACACATGCAACTGTCTTGCAAAAAAAAAAATCTTTAGAAATGTCATGCGACATAGCCTACATAGGTAGAATAATCATCAGTTAAACAGATCAAAATATGGATAACTGATAAATTTTAGGGAAAATTACGCGTTTAGTACCTAAACTATCAGTTTTAGTTCATTTTAGTACCTAAACTTTCATTTTGTTCAAAACCATGCCTAAAGTTTAGTTTTTGTTCATTTTAGTACCCATTCAAAATTTAATGTTAAGTTTTAAAAATATTGAAAGTTTAGGTACTAAAATGAACCAAAATTGATAGTTTAAGTATTAAATGCGTTAAGTTTTTAATGGTGGGATACTAAAATGAAACAAAAACTAAATGTTATGTATGATTTTGAAAAAAAAAAACTAAAAGTTTAGGTGTTAAATGGATCAAAACTGATAGTTTAGGTACAAAATGCGTAGTTTACCCTAAATTTTATTTTAACATTTAGACAATGAATAAGTGATCATTTTCTCTCAAAGCATTAAGTTCTTCAAGTTCTGAGCCATCTGCCATAAGAATAGTGCTCCCTCTCTTTCCGAGTTTCTTTTCTGCATTAACCAGATATAACCAAATTCAGCGTCCTTCGTTGATGATCACTTATACCTATTTTATTTTTTATTCGTTAAGTGTAGAGTATTCTGGTTTCCTCTCAATTAAGGGGTTGTTTGTTTACTTCAGAATGATTAAGCGCTGAATCATTCAGAATGTACTTTGATACTGAATCATTCAATACCGTTTTGTTGAATCAGTCAGCACTGAATCATTCAGAGGTGCGAAACAAACGTGCTGAATACTGAACGGTTCAGCATTCAACACTGAATGATTCCATTCAGAGCCAAACAAACAGCCCCTAAGTTTACTAACTTCCCGATCATGTATTGATGAAATTAACTTCCTCTTAAGTGTTTTTAATCTATGCTCTATATTGTTGTGATGTGAAATGAAAATGTTCTTCCCAAATAAATCAGGTCGAGTTTTAGAAGATGGAACCCGTTAAACACGGGTTGGGTCGGTCATAAAATCCAACCCAATCCGATTCATGTATATCTCTAATTCAGGTCTATTGATCAATGATCAGAATGTTCCTTCATGGTCATATCTATGGTAGATATGCATCAGTTGTTCATGTGCTTTCTTTAGACTAGAAATAAAAGAGGTTGATAACCGAGGTTCTAGTTAAATTATTGATCTCTCTTTCCTAGATTCGGTATATTTTACTTTGGAAAATTAATAGTTTCATACTTACTGTAGAATTTTGTCGAATGTATAAAATGATAAGAGTCAAATCCGTCATCTTAGAGAAATCGAGGCTAAAGGGAGCAAATACTTACGAACCTATCACTATCCCGAGACATTATCTTTTAGGCTATTTGTTTGATACAGAGTGAAGGATATGTTTTTACTATACTCTCTTCCTATCCAGTTTCAGATTGATAATCAAGGCATCTTCGTTGCTTCTATGTTTTTACTTTTAGGGTAAACTACGCATTTAACACCTAAACTATTAGTTTTGATCCGTTTTAGTATCTAAACTTTAGTTTTTATTTCATTTTAGTACCCGCCATTAAAAGCTTAATACGTTTAGTACCTAAATTATTAGTTTTGGTCTGTTTTGGTACTTGAACTTTTAGTCTTTTTAAAACTTAACATTAAATTTTGAATTGGGGTACTAAAATAAGTCAAACTAAATTTTAAGTATGATTTTGAAAAAATTAAAAATTTTGATACTAAAACAGATTAAAATTGATAATTTAGGTATTAAACGCATAACTTACTCTTCTTTTAAGTTCTCCGATCATTATGAAATATATTCTCGTAGAAGAAATATCATATCTGCTCGGTTCCATGCTTTGTTATATCACCTTTAGATTTGTAAATTTCACGAGATAAAATTATAGTGTGTTAAGACTTAATAATCGAAATTGATCAAAGAATTTAATTTATTTAATTTATTTGTTCGATGCTTAATATTTAATTTATCAATCTAATGGATCAATTTGGATATTCCGATTATCCAAACGTGGTATTATTGTTATTGTGGGTCCAATGAGTGTATACAACTATTTGTTAAAGGGTTTTTCGCATGGTTTTCAGAACCGGACCGGTTAGCGAACCGGACATGCTATCGGTTCACTGGTTCAATCGGTTGAACCGGTCTGACCGGTCGAAAGAACCAGACGACGTCATAATTATTTAAAAAATTAAATAAAAATACCAAAAATATTTAATAAAAAATAATTTTTTATATCACAAGTCATATTCAAAGCAAGTCATAACATATATAAGTTAAAAACCATAAAATCAAGTGAAACAAAATGATTCAAATTAACTACAACATAATATTTAAGGTAAAACATATTAAATAATAAATATAATTATATAACTATAATTAAAAAATAAATTTGGGGCTAAAAATCATAACAAAATGATATTGTTTGTTTAATTTTTTTTTAAAAAATAATCTCACATTGCTAAGAAATATAGAAGAGCATCCCAAAAGTCTAAAGAGTAAAAATATGAGAACAAAACAATCTCACATGGCTAAGAAACATAGAAGAACATCCCTGTTGAACTATGTTTCGATATAACAATTTAAGGCAAAATGATTTTTGGACTTGAATTGAATTTACAAAATGTATTTGGACTTAATTGAATTTATGAAGGGGTATCGATTCCCTATGAAGGGGTACCGATTCCCCCCCATTCTGGGCAACCTTTTTGAGTATAAAAATCATCCCCAAACGGCTCCAAAACATCCCCAACGGCTATATACGACTTCAAACTCATTCCAAGCTATAAATACAAGCTGAGGACACTTGAAGAAGGAAGAGAACAACTATCCAAGCAATCAAACACAAGAGAAGAGTTTTTCAATCTTATTTCATCTTTCTCTTGTAAATATTTTGTTCTTGTGAGCTCAATCTTGTAAACACCTACCTTAGAGAGGTTTTCTTGTTTACATTTCTTATCTTTTGTAAAGGGGAAAGGTTCTAGCTTAGCCCGTGTAAAAGCTAGGGAAAGGTTCTAGTTTAGCCCGGAAAAACTAGGGAGTTTGTAAGGTTACTCTTTATCCTCAAAAGAAAGAACAAATTAGTGAATTTGTTGGAAAATCCTTGGTGAGGAGCTAAGGTAGTGGACGTAGACTTTGATTGAGAAAGTCGAACCACTATAAATCGTTGTGCAATTCTCTATCTTTCAATCTCCTTACTCCCTAAACACAAAACCGTTCCGACTCCTCTTTGCAAATCGTTCCGGTTGTCGTTTCGAGCTTCCGAAAATCCTAACAATCCCAACTAACTTCTATAAATAATAGAGGTAATTTGGCATTCAAAATCATGGAGCCTTTTGGTGAGCATTGAGTGAATTATTCTTTCACTTCAACCAAGCTCGAATTTTAGGCTTCAATCGAGCTTCTAATTTTTTTTTGAGTTCAAGCCTTTTCGAGTTCAAGTTTCAATATTATATTTCGAGTTCGAGTTGAACTTGATAATTTTTAGCTCGTGAGTTTGAGTTGAGTTGAGCTTACTTTTAAAGTTTTCAAGTACGAGTCGAGCTCAGCAATACTCGAGTTCGACTTGGCTCGTTTAACAAATGACGTCATTTGGTTTAATTTAAAAAAAACAAAATGGCGGTTTTTCTCGGTTTTTCCGGTTTTCAGCCGGTCTGGTTCGAACAATTCAACGGTTCCGCCCGGTTTACTAGTAGCGGTTCAACCGATGTAGATTGAACTGGACTAGGCAATGGTTCCCGGTTGAACCGGCCGGTCCGGTCCGATTTTCAAAACAATGGTTTTTCAGATATTTAAATTATAAAAGTTTAACTCGATTCATACTCAAAAAATATAAGAAGTTAGTCAAGTTAAATTTGAAAACTGAATAACTCTATTTTTTACAGAAATTTTTTAAAAAAAAAGCCTTAATTATAAAATAAGTATCTAAATTATAGTTCTTTTCATGAATAGATGTCTAAACTATTTTTTAAATGGTCTCAGTGTATTAACGTTACAAACATTACCACTTTAGGCAATGACTTTAATTTCCTCTATTAAGTGACACGTGTCATAACCTGATAATTTTAAATTTTTTATTTAAAATCAAAATTTTAAAATTATATATTTTAAAAAAAAATTAAAACACATAAATTTTGAAATAACTCCAAAACTTTGAAAATCTTCATTTTAACCGCTAAACCCATGTCGGCCACCGCCCTTTATCGTCAATGAAGCTCCACTTGACCTCACCTCCCTTCGACGACCAAAATCCCTATGAAATTGTGATCGATCGACGACGAATTGACATTTTATACCCTATGAACCCTAGGATGAAAATCGTGATCCCATGCGATTCTGATGGTCAATTAACGACAACTACGACGTATATGGAAGTGACTACGTTGGCGGCAGTGTCGTGGCTAGAAAGGGCAGCAGCGTTGTCGTGGCCAAAAAGGGTAGCGATTACGGGTTAGGGTTAGGATTTGAGGATTTAGGGGATTTTTTTGTAATTTAAGATAAATTAGGTTTTGTTATAAATATAATAATATTTTAAATAATTAAAAAATAAATAAATTTCAAAATTACCAAAACGCTATAGTTTAGGTACTTATTTCATATTTACGCCTTAAAAAACATTTATCGATTGAGTGATTAAAAGAACTAACTTTGAAAAGTTAATAATGAAATTGAAAAAAAATGAAAGTTAAGTGACTGAAGAAATACAATCAAAGTTGAATGATAAAAAAGTAGTTTACCCTTATTATTATCCAAATCAAAAGCAAACCGAATTGAAGCATTTTATTGCTCTTGGTCCGTTTGAGGTCTCCAAATTTCAAGATTTCAATAGACAGCAGCCGTGAAAGCATGGCAACAAGCAGCGGAGAAAGTCGGCGCCGGAAAATCCTCGAAAGAGGATCCGATCGCTTGACTTTTATTAAGGGTCATCTCCAAAACCTCCCTCCTCATCCTCCTCACTCTGAAAACCAAATCGACATCAGCCCTCCTCCGCCTCCGTCGGCCCCCCTCCACCCGACTTCCCAAGTCAAATCGCCGGTACTCTTTTCTCGCTCCTCGCCGTTTTCATTTTTATTTATCTTTTCAGTTGATTATGTCTATTGAGGATCAGGGTTTTGTTGAATATTAGCAATTGAAAGATTGAAATGTAGGATGGTAGTTGGAGTTAGGATTTGGGAAATCTAGTCGAAGTATCTTCTATGGTTTAGCTTGTTGGGTTCTGGAAAGAATTGAGATTACTTCTAGTGTTAAGCATCCTTGATTAATGTCTGAGGTTCTGAAATAACGAATAAATGTTCTGAAAGATACTAATACCTATGTTTTTTGATGGATTCATGTTCCTTTGATTCTAGTACCAATAAATATTCCTCAATTCTTATTTTTATGTATCTTTTGAAGGATTGTACTCGATTCGGTTTGTTATGTCTTTATACTTTGATGGGTCAATTAAGAATGGAGGTTTAGTTGAATCCTAGCAATTGAAAATTTGGTTTACAAAGGTAGCTAAACTTTCCAATAGGAAAGCTAGTCAAAGTTTCTTCCAAGGTTTAATGTTTTGGGTTCTGGAAAGCACCAGACTTGCTTCTCATATGCACCATCGAATATTCCTCATTGGTGTCACCAAGTTACTGAAATAACGGATAGAAGTATCGAAAAATGCTAATACCAATGATTTTATTGATGGATTTGTGTTATTTTGATTCTATTTCTAGTGCTGATAAATATTCCTCAATTCTTATTTTTATGAATCTTTTGAAGGGTTATACTCGTTTCGGTTTGTTATGTCTTTATACTTTGGTGGGTCAACTAAGGATTGAGGTTTAGTTGAATCCTAGCAATTGAAAAATTGGATATATAAAGGTAGCTAAATTTTGAAATAGGAAAGCTACTCAAAGTTTCTTCCAAGGTTTAGCGTTTTGGGTTCTGGAAAGCACCGGAATAATGAATAGAAGTATCGAAGTTTCGGGTCAAAGTTTCTTCCAAGGTTTAGCGTTTTGGGTCAAATTTCCTTCATTCATGTCACCAAGTTACCGAAATAATGAATAGAAGTATCGAAGAATACCAATACCAATGGTTTTGTTGATGGATTCCCTTTTCTTCTCCCTTCCTCTATTCAGATTTTTATTCATCTTTTGGAGGTACGTTTCAGTTTATTATGCATTGATAATTGGATGGGTCTGTTAAGGATTGATGTTTAGTTTGATTCTTGCAATTGAAATTTTGGATTTAGAAAGGGAGCTTAATTTTGCAATTGGGAAAGCTAGTTAAAGTCTCTTATGAGGTTTAGCTTTCTCGGTTCTGGAAAGCATTGAGCTTGCTTGCTTCTCGTAAGTGCCACCAAGTTACTGAAATGATGAACAAAAGTTTCGAAAGACTCAAATACTGATGGTTTTTTATTTATTTTTCAACGGATTCCATGTTCTTTTGATTAATTGCTTTCGGGTTTTTGCTAATTCTCTTCTTCTCTCTCCTTCCATACTGATTTTTATGCATCTTTTCAAGGGTTGTTTCAGTTTATTATGCATTAATAATTGGATGGGCCAATTGAGGATCAAGTTTTAGTTGAATCCTGGCAATTGAAAATTTGAAATTAGGATGGTAGCTGAATCTTGCATTTGGGAAAGCTAGTTTCTTCTCAGGCTTAGCTTTTCGGGTTTCCTGAAAGCATTGAACTTGCTTCTCATAAGCACCCTCAACTATCCTTGTTTGATATTACCAAGTTACTGGAGTAATGAAGAAAAGTTTCGAAAGATATAGTACTTTGCTTTCGGTTTTTATTGCTATGCAGTTTCTCCCGATGTCCATGATGAAGCCTCTACTTCTGTGATGCTAAAACATAATCCTTGTTCTGATACTAATCAGAGTCAGCCCAGTACTTATAATGGAATTGGTGAAGGATCAACATCCCACAGACGGGATAGAAGCATCGGGCCTTCAAATGATTCTGCGTTGAATACAAACGGTCAAGTGAATTCAGTGCCGGTTCTATCAGATGATCAAATTTCATCGATTTCCACATCAAGGACAGTACATCGTTCAGAAACACCAACTCGAAAACATAATTTTTTCACCCCTAAGCAAATAAGTTCTGCAATTGATGCATCTGGACAAGCACGCCTCTTATGTTCAGTGATTGTGGTCGTCTTAGTTGTTCTGGTACGTTTGGGGTTTCCTCTTCTAGGAAACAGATCCATAGGGGGCGTTATCAGCTTCAGGCCAGTTTACTTCGTTCTGTTGACCAACATAACACTCGTGATGGGGCGACTTCTTTCCGGTGATCGCGTAAGTTCTCGAAAAGTCATTGCGGGAGAGAACAAACCCTCCTCCGCCGATGACAATAATTGGGCCGAGCAATTAAGCAAGACGTTGGAGGTAGGATTGGTGGCAAAGAAGGCGATCGATGCATTGTTCATGGATTGTAGTGTGTATCTCATAATTGTCGTATGTGGCCTCTCATTCTCGTGACAATTTAGCGAAGCATGTTTCTTTCTGTTAGTTCCTTTATGTGTTGGGGATCATAGTGTATCCTTTTGGCCATAGTGTTCTTTGGTGTACTTGCCAGTTGTACTTTTGTATTTCAATGCCATCGTAAATGCAGTTTAGGGTTTCATTTCCTTTGTTTCCGATGATAAATCGAATGATGCATTTAGTACCTAAACTATTAGTATTTTTAGAGTAAACTATACATTTAGTACCTAAACTATTAATTTTGATATGTTTTAATATTTGAACTTTTAATTTTTTTTCAAATCATACCTAACGTTTAATTTTTGTTTCATTTTGGTATCCCACCGTTAAAAACTTAACGTGTTTAGTACTTAAACTATCAATTTTGGTCCGTTTAGTACCTAGATTTTCAATTTTTTTCAAAGCTTAACGTTAAATTTTAAACATGAGTATTAAAATGAAACAAAAATTAAATTTTAGGTATGATTTTAAAAAAATTGAAAGTTTAAGTATTAAAATAGATCAAAATTGATAGTCTAGGTATTAAACGTTAATTTACCGTAATTTTTATATTAAATTTATCATTAAATTATTAATTGATATCATTGTAGTTCTGTAGTTCCATTCCACCCGGTGATAGACAAGATCCATGAAGTGTTTAAGGAGATGGAGCGAAGAACGAAAGAACTGGGCCAATTCGTTAGGCGAAATTCGCATTGCGTGATGTAAACGAAGAGTCGAAAGTCAAGAGCTTGAGGGTTTACAGTGAGAAGTTGGCAATCAGATTGGTTCTTCTCCATGGTGGCTGGGATGAACCAAGATTTAAGTGCTTGTCGAAGATCGTCGAGGTTGTTTCAGTGGTGAGGGATGCTAACAGATTTCACCAGATACCGATATGAACGATCAATTGAAGTAATAACTGGTATCGATACGAACGGTGAAATTGTTTCCGGTGAGATTAAAGACGGTAACAATGACACTGAGATCGGATGCGATATACATTTAGATTCAACAACAATCGTTCAATCACAAACCGTGCAGGCCACTGCCCCAAGGTATGAGCCAACCTAAAAATTTGGTTCGAACTCGTTGGCCTTTGCCTTTACCTTTCACATAGGGATGGGAATAGTACCCGAACCCGGCGGGTTCCAACCCGACCCGACTCGATTGGGTCGGATTTTTTTAAAAAAAATCGGGGTCGGGTCGGGTCGTTTTTTTATGTGACGTTCGGGTCGGGTTTGGGGTGAAAAATATTACCCGACCCGACAAATATATAATTTTACCTTATATATTTAGGAATAATTACAATAATACCATTCTATATATTATTTTTTTCCAATTAAGTCACTGTTTTTATTGAATAAAAATAATTTTTTATTATTTCTGGTCGGGTTGGATCGGGTTTTTAAGTTATATATCGGGTCAGGTGAAAACTTGTTTTGGTCTGGTCGGGTGGACCGAAAACCCGACCCATGCCCATCCCTACTTTCACATCTAATCCTATCTACAAAATTTTGATTCGGATCGGTTTGGTTCGGGTTTTATCTCAGAAAGTCAGGTCGTATTCGGTTCGGTTGTAATCCACTCCTAAACTTGGATCGGATCGAATTTCGGGTGGAGTATATATATTTTCAGGTCGATTAGATTAACCGAAAATCTAACCTAATCCGACCTATACCCATCCCTACTTGCATGTGATCAAGGGAAGAGCCAACCTAAAAATACCAACATTTGGTTCGAACTCGTTGGCCATTGGCAATAGCCTTTGCCTTTGCCTTTCACATCTAATCCTATCTATAAAAATGGTGGGATAAGTCCCCTAATTTCTCCTTTTATTTGTCTTTTCATTAACACCCTATTTGCTTCATCACCATTTGCTTTGGTGGAGATTTGTGCCATCCACTAATTTAAAAAGAAAAAGAAAATTAATTTTGTCGATTATTAATTAGTCTAATGTGACCTGAAAAATTTTAATTTTGTGACCTAGATCCGATTTATTCAAGTAATTTTTTTTAGAAAATTATTCGATTTTTTTAGATTTTATTTGGCGGGTCGGGTCAATCGGGTCGAGTAGTTTTGTACACCCTTATATAAACCTATTCTCCATTTTATGTAAGGTATAATGTTAAAATTATCCTCTTAATGTTTATTAAAATTAGGGGTGAGCAAAACTCGACTCGATTTTTTTTTTAATTTTGAGTTATTCGAATCGATTTATTCAAGTGATTCGATTCAACTCGAATTTTCAATTCGATTTTTGAGTTCGATTCGAGTTGAGATTTTAGAATTTTGAGTTACTCGGAAAACCAAAAATTTAAATAAGTATTTTGATAATTTTACGATTTAGTTCCTGATTTCATTATTCCTACTTCATTTTAAGTCTATTTTTTTACTAAATTTTAAATACATGCTCCTAAATCACTGTAGAAAACATACGTACTTTCAATTCCTCTTTGATAATATTTTTTTTTAATTTAGTCCCTCAAATTTCTATATTTTTCAATTTTGAGTTCGATCTCGTAACTTTTCTTCATGCCCTCGAGGAATCTAGCCACTCTACACAGGTAAGCCTTGATGAAACCGTGGTGTTCATGCTGTTAACGACATGACGATGGAGGATGTAGTCATCAATGGCGTCTTCAATCCTGAAAGCTGTTTCTCTTACAAGCTTCACCCATGTAATAACACCGGTGGAACCCTAAAGATCTCTGGCCGCCATTGCATCTGCTTCTTTTAAGAAACATGTGATGAACTCGAGCTCGACCTTGAAGATGTCTTCGACTTCTTCGTGGACGCCTCTGAGCAACTCGACGTCTTGACTCAGGAAAGTGGTTAGCTTCTCCGTCGCCAAACTCGCCGCCACCTCGGCCATGGAAATATCATTCAGATCTTCGATGAAAAGTTTATGATTTTTGGGGTTAAAATTGTTGAAACGAAGACTCTGTGTACTGGAAAATGATCATTCTTTTGGTGTCTTCTAGTATTCCTATTTTCTACTCACACGTGGATGAATTTTTCTTAGTCCTTTCCCCACTCCACAAGTTTAGAAAATGGTCATTTAATTATACATATAATATTATTTTATTGAGTATCTCGATTAGTAAAAGTTATAAAATGATTATTAAAATATTTATTAAGTTCCAAACTAGTCCTTTTTATTAAAAATTGACGGTATTGTGAGTTGAAAGTAAACTTATTGATTAAGGGTGTTGAAAAATATCCGATCCGGTTGAGCCGACCCGTCAATCCAAGCCTAAAAATCTGAGTAATTCTCTAAAAAAAATACTCAAATAGGTCGAGTATCCGACCCGTGATTTTTCTCGGATAATTGGGTCAGGTCTGGACTGAAATTTGTTCATAAACAGGTACCCTGCCTGACCCAATAATTTTAATATATACAATTTAAAATTAAATTTAAATTCGTAAATTTTTCTTAAGTTTGTATTATGTATTTTTAAGTTTTGAATTTTCAAAAACATTTTATCAATTTATCAATATGAGTTTAAAGAATGAAAAAAAATCACGATCGATTTTAATATTTTGAATATTTTCTTTTTGATATATATATCCTTAAAACTAATTTTAAATCATTAATTTTTATGTATAGATTGTATATTATGAATTTTTAAATTTTTAAGTATTTTCTATGTGCTTTTTTTAAATAAATTAAAAAATAATATATATATATATAAACTGGGTACATGTAACTCGAAAATATGGGTACTTGAATTTTAAGGGTATTGGACTTAACGGGTCGGGTACTCGGCTTTGAACACCTCTATTGTTGATTGTAATATGATAAAATTTGATCCTAACAATCATGTTAACGTCTAGCCTTAGTCCACTGTCAATTTTTAACAAAAAAAAACGAGTTTGGAACATAAAGAATAGTCTAATGACTATTTTGTAACTTTTAATAGTCGAAAAATTAACAAAGTGACATTATGTAGTCGAAAGATTATTTTATAATAGTCGAAAGACTTAATAAAATAATACCTTATAGTTGGAAGATCATTTATATACTTTACCCTAAAATTTATACAATCTATATATTATATGATTTACTTTCGACATTAAACGTTTACACCCCTGACATCTATGGTGTTCGAATCTAAGTCAAAGACAATCATCCTAAACCAGCTTGTTCCATTTGCAATCGTTAGAATTCGAACTACTTAAGAGATCTAATATCTCGTTTCACTAAATCAACTAATTATTGAAACATTATTTTTGAATTGAGAGACTAACACTTGATTAAATTATGTTAATTTTGTGCATAAATTTAATTCAAATACGACGCAACTCATGAATACTTCTCACAAAAGTTATAATTCTTTTAAAACATTATTTTATTAAAATTAACCTATACATTTTCTATCCACTTATTCTAAAAAATAAAAATAAATTCTAAATGATTAAGGGTAAAATATACAAATGATCCCTCATCTATAAGGTATTACTTTGTTGAATCTATCAACTATTAAAAATTATAAAAATGATCCCCTAATTATTGGATGTTGTTTTGTTGACTCCCGACTATTAAAAGTTATAAAATGATCACTCGAGTATTCATATGTTCCAAACTCATCCTTTTCTGTTTAAAAATTGACTATCATCTGAGCTGAACGTTAACTTGTAGACTTGGATATGATAAAATTTGATCCTAGAACCTGTTGAATTGTACTTTATTGATCGAATCTCTATTTACATTATGTCGTCAAGTCAGTACTTGAAAGCAACGACAATGTTAGTAAACATCATTAAAATATAATTTTATCATATCTCGTCAACATGTTGACGTCCAATTCAGACCAGTCAATTTTTAATGGAAAATGATGAGTTTGGAACAATATGTCGGGTGAGCATTTTGTATCTCTTAATAGTTGAGGGACTCAACAAAATAACACCCTATAATCGGAGACCATTTGTGTACTTTACCCAATAATTAGTCAAAGTATAATCCCACGGCATCAATAAATATAGTACTTAATTAAACTTTTCGTGGTATGAGATAGGCTGGTAGGCGTTTGCAGTTCCTTAACCGAAAGGGAAGGGAGGCAAACCCTAATCTCGTCTCTGTCTTCCCAAAAGACGAATCGAAAGGGGAAATCTTGAAGGGGAAAAGATGGTTTTTTACTTCAAATCCCGACCAGAAGCCGGCGATTACACCATCTTCATGGGTTTAG